GCCATAATATCCCTTATTTGTAAACCGAGGCCTTCCTAGCTGGCGTTTGTGAGGTGTGGATACACTAACCAGCACTTCCTTCACGGCATCCTGCTCTGCCACCCAATTTTGCCGCATGCCTTTCATTTATAAAGTCATTATTGCTGGGGCCTGGAGATACAATCTGCTTGGTTATTGCCAGCAATTTTTTTTTTTTAAAGAAACAACAGCAGCTGATCTGGGCTTCTTATTCTCATACTTCCCTTGAAAAAGATTAATTACAAGATCCAGTGTTTCTGGTAAAAACAAACGAGCAAACTCCAACTCTAAATTGCTAAGAAGTTGCTAACGGCTAGCTCTGCTGTTCGACGTTTGAACCTAAACTGAACAACCTTTCTGTTGAAGTTAAAAACTTTGTCCTCTGATTTCCATTATGTATAAGGAGTGGGGGGGGGGGGGGGAAACAGGTCCAGTTATAGTTACTGCAGAGTTTCAAGGACTGTTTTATACTTCCTGACAGTGTAGGTCTGGCTTAATGATTTGTTTTTATTGCTGAAAAGTGTAAACCTTTCTTCGGCCAATGTGTGGAAAGTCTACTCCCATCCTGCATTACACACATTTCTCATTACTCACTCAGGGCTTTCCCCTTTCCTGCCACCTTCGCTTCAGCAATGCGCAAACACTCCTATGCATTGCGGGAGAAGATGAGTGCAAGAAAGGCCCTGCTGGATAACGGAGGGACCGTGGCTTAGTGCTGGGAATACAAAGAGTGACCAGCACAAGTTCACCCAGTGAGCTTCCGCAGCAGTGAGGATCTAAACCTGGAACTCTTCTAAGAGTCTAGTCTGATGCTCTAAACTCTACCCTACACTGTTTTTTGCTGCCTTTCTACTACAGTGTGAATGGAGACACCCTCTATGATTTCTACTCGGGAGCGGCATTTATTTCAAGATTACTCTGGAAAGGTCTACTTTGAGAACCTAACTACTTAACAGAACAAAGTTTGAGTCCAGTGGCAGCTTTAAGAACATAAGAGAAGCCAATGTTAGATTAGGCCAATGGCCCATCCAGTCCAACACTCTGTCACACAGTGGCCAAAAATACCAGGTGCCAGCAGGAGTGGGGACAGGACACTAGAAGCCCTCCCGCTGTCATCCCCCCCCCCAAAGCACCAAGAATACAGAGCATCACTTGCCCCAGACCTAGAGTTCCTACCTATACCTTGTGGTTAATAGC